TACTTTAATCAGTCAGAGCAGATTTTTTTTATTTCTATATATGTTACCGGAAATGTATGAAATCAAGGAATTGTATACAAATCCTAGGAAATGTGTACAATTCCGATACTATTTAGGAAATGTATAAAATATTGTTTGAAAAACTATTTAATGCATAGATATCCTAGGAAATGTATAAATTTCCTCGGAATTGTATATAATTCCAATATCGTATTAGGAAATGTATAAAGTAAATTCTTTCTGTAATAAAACACGTTGTTATTATTTTTTTTTTTATATAACACTTATTGAGACAATCGGGTAACAGTCATACCGTAAAATAATAATAATATATTCATATTATCTTACTAATTAAAACTTCTAAAATCAACTATCTATTAACTNTTGATTGTTAGGTCAACGTATGATTTGATTTGATTTGGCGCTTTAAAAAAGCAAACGATTCTTTGCGAAATCCTTGATTGTTAGGTCAACGTATGATTTGATTTGATTTGGCGCTTTAAAAAAGCAAACGATTCTTTGCGAAATCCTTGATTGTTAGGTCAACGTATGATTTGATTTGATTTGGCGCTTTAAAAAAGCAAACGATTCTTTGCGATATCTTTGATTGTTAGGTCAACGTATGATTTGATTTGATTTGGCGCTTTAAAAAAGCAAACGATTCTTTGCGAAATCCTTGATTGTTAGGTCAACGTACCTCGCATTGTGTTCGCTTCACAACACTATGTATTAATAGACCGAGAATTCCGCGATGTGTCTGCTCTAACTCGAAATACTCTAGACATCGGTATGAATGACGGGTCTTGGCTGCTTCGCTGGTCCGAGAGTAAAGTGTACTGACTAATTTCTCGTGAGGCATTCACTCCATTTGTCTTTTAGATACTTGACTAGTATCTATATATTAATACGTGAAGCAAAAACTTTGTATCCCATTTTACGTAAATTGCGCGGACGGAGGAGTATGAAAATTTTCACACATATAGAGAATATAGAGAAGAAGTGCACAATGCTAATATTTTTTTAAAAATAATGCATAAAAGGTACTTTAAATCAATAAAGAAAACATTACACACACAACCATGTATTTGACACAACACATATATATATAAATATACTCTGCTTATTGTCAATTGTCAAACTTTTGTTAGTGTTTAAAGTCTGTGGTCAAATTGAGAATAGATGAATATTGTTTGTCTTTATTTATTATTTATGTATAGTGTAGTTTTGGCGAAATTTGTGATTATATTATATAAGTACATTAGTATTTGACAATAGAACCATAATAATGTTTAAACAAAAATTCAATTGATTAAAGTCGAATTTCGACTACTGCGGGATAGGGGTCCGGTTCATTTTAATACGCTTTTATTAGCTTCAGACGTAGGTATGTATGTAACGGAATCTTTGAACATGATTTTGACCCATTTCAAAACGTCGGATTAACTCGACATTTGGTATACTTATTAAGGACCGGTGACAATTCAATATTAAAAAAAAAGTGAACAAAATAAATTTGAAAAAATTTAAATTCAACAAAAAAATGAAAAATAAATAATAGTTTAAAAAAACTAACAAAATACGCTTTTATAGAAAATTCAACTAAAAATTAGAATATTTTTTTTAATAAATTGAATGAAAAATAGTGTAAGAAAAAATATTTTTTTTGTAAAAAAAGCGTGGAGTGCATATCAGCAGTTATAAATATTTTATGAACATATATGGGTAGAAGGGTTATTTTGGTAATATCCTGAAAAGCACCACACGTTTTTTACAATAAAATGATTTTTTCTAACACTAATTTTAATTCAAATTTATTAAAATTTACATTTACCGATGTATTCATTATTATATTAGTAGTTCTACATATAAAATAATGTTTATACTATTTCATATAGTATTTCATACATCAAACATAGCAAAGATATCGTTATTATTACCTATTACAATTCTTCTAGGACTAAACCGACCCACAAGTTTCAGCCGCGAATGCCTTGCAAAGAACGTTTATCTAAATTAAATTAATCCTTCTTACTGTGTGCCATTGAAATTTTATTGCAAGATACTCGAGAATGTAAATGAAAACGTATTATTTAACAAACACGGTTTCAATTAAATAACTATTTTATTCCACTTAAGACCTTTTTGGTGTAAAGCAATTTCTGACATCACTGAGATTCCCAAATGTCTCTTACACATGAAGGTGCAATGTGCTATCTAAATATTCCACAATAAATTTGATAACAAACAAATGTTTTCATGTTTAAAAACATCTTCCATATTTTTTAGATGTACTTCATTTTGATTTTTATAAATGTCTCTTACGTCAACATCATGTCACAATCTGCCCTCTGGCTTATCGCGTGTTTTATTTATTGTATTTATTAGGCACGGCTCTTTAGAGATGCTGGAACCTCATAGAAATATTAGTTAGCATAGTTATATTTCTAAGTAGAAGGGCCACGTATTATCTGCGTAAATTTTTTGGAACGAAGTTTCTTATGGGTTGCGGAGGGGTACCCTAACCGGCGAAAAACGTCCGTAACGTAAGATTTTTTTCTATTTCGTTTGTTATCAACAGATGTCGCTGCACGTAAATTCAACAATTCCTGAATCGCGGTGACGAGATGTTACACAGCTGATAGACGTTCTCGTATTTCTCTTGCTAAATTTTACTTACCTGGCGTAGAGGATACCGTAATCATGCAGGCGGTTCCCCCAGGGCGAGGCTGCTCCATTGTACTGCGGAGTGGTTGACCCTTGCGATTATTTTTATCAATAAAAAAATCATATAATAAAATGTATACCCGAATAATTATTTTCTTCATACCTCGAATAGAACTTAAAATTAATATTTTTATGATCAGGGATTTCGTTCCTATCCGGTGTCCCACGACACCACACATCTTTTTTTAATTCAAAAGGAGTTTTCATTTAATTTTCTTGGCACAAAGCGTTGCTTGCGATTCTCTATGGTTCATAACTTCTAAATACATTGATAAATAAAGTCACGAAACAGCGCATACACTGTCATATTTCTTGCTTTACTCGGCGTTTCCCGGTCATGTTAATTGCCATCATAAAAAGTATCCTATACCTTAACCCTAGTTAGAAAATGAAATTTCATCCGAATCAGTTTTAACATTTTTCGTGATTGAATAAACGGCTCCGGACTTACACACTTATAATATTATAGATTATATAACCGATGTGATAAAATATGTAAACGCTCCTCTAGAAAACATACACTTTGACCTCAAACAAGTTATTAAGCTAATTACATCTTAATTGTGATTACGACTGTTTGTATCAATATTATCTCGAAAACTGCATAACGTATGTTATTAAGTGAGTGAGTGTCTTGAAAATAATATCTAGTAATAAATGTGTATCATCACTACATAGTATGAAACAAATTCGCTTTCTCTGTTCCTATATCCCTATGTATGCTTAAATCTTTAAAACTACGCAACGGATTTTGATGCGGTTGTTATTAATAGATAGAGTGATTGAAGAGCAAGGTTTATGTGTATAATAACATCCATTAAATAGTGGGGAAATCAATAATAAATTACAGTTTCCGAAGCAAAGCGAGGGCGGGTCGCTAGTTAACATAAATCGATTTAATTATTGAACAAAGACTGTATCAATTATTTTCACTCATTACATATATTGTTGTGTCTTTCAGTGACTTTCTTATGATATTGGTGGGTGGATAATATCTCAGTAGGTATAAGCATAAGCATTAAGTGGCTGTCTAAGTATATGAACATCACAAGCTGGATGCCGCGTTGCATTCTTCGGATATGACGTCATGGCGATATGACTTCAAAACGCTTGACTACTTCGCGGCAGAAATAGGCGGTAACAAAATAGTTTTGCCGTGAAGCAGTAATGCGTTTCGGTTTTAAGGGCGGGGCAGCCGTTGTAACTATACTTGAGACCTTAGAACCTATATTTCAAGGTAGGTGGCGCATTTACGTCGTAAATGTCTATGGGCTCCAATAACCAATTAACGTAAGCTCGTCCACCTATCTAAGCAATAAAAAAAATAATTTTTGCGATGACCTTTTAGCAAGTGCTAACTTACCTCAATGCTATATAATTAATTTACATCACACGTGAAATGTCATTTAATTATGTTTACGTCTTGACAAAACCTAAGAGCTTGTTACATAGCAAACTCCCGGAAACAATTAACAACAGGTGGGTTAGTCTGTCCTACAAATCTACTAATGATAAGCTCACAAATACATTAAGCATACACAAATATAAAACAAACTAACAGCCCGTAGGAAAGGTTACGATGCGAAGTAAAACAATTCAAACACACACAGAAGGATATGTTCATAAGCTCATGAATGTGAAACTTTTTACACTCAAAAGAGCTTTCGTGTAAATCAGCATTCGTAAGACGAGCGGGACCCGGCCCTAAGCACGGAGCAAACGTGTTCACCGCACAGACGCCAACGGTAGTGTTGTACTAATACACATTTAGCAAAAGCGTTGCTATAAACTATAAACGCTTTTTTCTGATTCACATTCTAGCTTCTCAAGATTCGTAGATATTATTAATAGTTTGGCTTTGTTTTTGAACTAACGCACTCCTGTCGACCAATAGATCGATTTTATTGATGTGAATCGATAATACGTTTAAGATTAGAATAGCAGATATTCGACACTCAGTGACAGATTCAATGTTACATTACGTCATTCCTTTGTCGTGAAAATTTTTCGGGAACACCTTATTATTATTATATTATTGTATGAACTTGTTCCTTTCAGAATAAAATTATGAATTAAAAAGCAATGTAGCTGACACAGGTATGCAGGTATCAAACTGTTTACGTTTAGAAACTAGAGTGTCATACTTTAATATATACAAATAGGTTGACTACAAAATATAATTAATAATATCGCATCGTTATTTTTAGCGTCAACGTTAACAATGAATAGCACGCGCTATATGCTGCGTACAGATAGCGCGTTATTTTAATAGCGCTATGTTCCCCGCCACTAGCCTGTTTTGCCAGTTCCGATCACGGCGCGCACGCAATATGCTGTGTCTATCGTTATTCTTGGTGCTCCTTACGACTCCCATATGGACCTATGTTACCGAAACGCCCTCTTTCATTGATCGTCTTGGCAAACTTTACGAGAAACTTGAAAAAATCACAATAGCACCCACGCCAGATAATTTCGGATCGAATCCTAAAGATAAGCTTTACGCGAAGCTGGAGAGATTTAATGCGCTGTCGCCCGATAAATTCGAGTTGTCTGATGAAGAAGAAGAGTTGATATCTACTATGGAGAAGTGGGGGCTCAGTGCTGATCAAATGGATATTATAGTGAAGGAATTGCAACGGACCAGGGAGGATGATGAAGAGAAAATTGAGAGAAATGAAGAATACAACGACGAGGATGAGGTAAGGAGGAAATTGGAATACTTTACTCATAAGCTTTGTGATATTGTACAAAGAGAAAAATAAATAGACAAAAATCAGCTTGGACGAATGCACCAGTTGGTCTTAACCAACTTGACAGGAAAAAAAAATTCTCTCAAACATAGGTATTAGTTAATGTTTTGAAGTCTGAATTTTCCTTACATTATCGTGAATATAAAATGTATGTGATTAAAATATACTATGTGTGCGGTTCGTAATTATTTTTATCAATATTGTTAACACAAAATATTAATTTAAAATGTTAATTAAAGGGGGTATAAGCTGTAATATCGACAACGAAATTAGCTTAATCATTTATTGTGAGAAATAGCTATTAGATGAGTTGAACCGATAAAAATAATATAGTAAAAATAATAAATACATAAAATAAATTAAAAAAATGGAGGAGGATAGGAATTCGCATATATTTATTTATTGTTTTTTTTTAGAACTTCTTTCTAAGTGAACCGATTTTGATGATTTTTTTTATTCAAACGCTACTCATGTGGCCACATTTAACGTATATCAACATCTGATCGTTAGTTTTAGATTCATTCTTGATGATGCAACTTTATTTGATTTCGATTTTTTTTTTAATTTTGTATTTTTGTTACATGTTAAACTCTGAAACAAAGGATTTATAAACATGATTATTACACAATTAATTATACAGAGAGTTATAATGGCATTCCTATCGATAATAGCTGATTCGAGTTTAGGGAATGACTCGATTGAGCTATATATTTCTTTTTTTTTGTTTTCTTTTTTTTTATTGCTTAGATGGATGGACGAGCTCACAGCCCACCTGGTGTTAAGTGGTTACTGGAGCCCATAGACATCTACAACGTAAATGCGCCACCCACCTTGAGATATAAGTTCTAAGGCCTCAAGTATAGTTACAACGGTTGCCCCACCCTTCAAGCCGAAACGCATTACTGCTTCACGGCAGAAATAAGCAGGGCGGTGTTACCTACCCGCGCGGACTCACAAGAGGTCCTACCACCAGTAAATCTATCGATTTATTCATTGACGCAAGATGACGCAACGCAAGATTGTTTTGCGATCGAAACAGGCGGGATCGTGGTATTTTCCCATGCTTACCGACAATACTTCAAGCCACTACTAACCAAGCTAATTAAAACAAAATGAGCTGTCATTTTTATTATGTACATTATCAGGCAGTAGAGAAAGTTAAGAACTCTAATTGGGGAATTGAACGAACTCTGCCTTGGAAGTCGGAGATAATTAAACACAAACTCTATCTCTTTCTCTCCGTCTCTCACAAAAGCTTAATCGAATAACTAACAAAGAGATAATTCTAATCAACATTTCCAAACGCTAGTTTAAATATTCCAATCCGTCCTAATATACAGAAGCTCTAAGTACTTTTTTTTGTTATTTTATGAATAGAATATATGTTTTCTTCTTGTTATGACAAATACGATTTACAATTAAATTGCAAATTTTCATTGTGATCACGAAATATGACTTGGCGCGTCTGCCATTCTCGGCATTGACACCAAAATAACGATTCTTAGCGAGCGACACGAGCTTTTACTCAAATTTGCGTTTATAATCATATATATATATACTAGCTGACCCGGCAGACTTCGGACCTAAATTTTTGTATAAAATAAACTTAAAACAAACAAAAGGAATCCGTTCAACGGAGGACACATCAAAGGGAAAACAACATTGTTATTTTTATTAAAGTCCGAGCATTTTTATATTTATCCACCTTTTAAACCTTCTCTGGACTTCCACAAATAATTCAAGACCAAAATTAGCCAAATCGGTCCAGCCGTTCTCGAGTTTAGCGAGACTAACGAACAGCAATTCATTTTTATATATAGAGTTAAATAGAATATTATATCATATCGAACAGATTTATTTTTTAATATTATGGCAGCTTCAAAGGTCTCTGACACCATTAAATTATTTTAAATATATTCGTGGCTTGTACCACTCTATAACTTTTTTCGTCTGTTTCCATTTCAAGTATTTTCAGTGGTCCAAGTCTTTTTATTATTATTATTAATACTTTATTTCAGTTTTTTTTTTTTAAAACCATAACGTTTTGTTAGTAATAATTACTTATAATCTATGTTAGTAACTTAAAAAAATCTAACACAGAACTATCATTATATACATTTTATACCATTATATATTTTTTTCTCCTTCCTTAGTGCCTTATAAGCTGTAAACGCAAAGATCATTCATTGCAACTCATGCATTTTGTAAGAAAACACTCATTGAAAGAATATTCCAGAAATTAAAGCCTCAAAATTTTAACGTTGAAATATATAAAAAAAACTTTTTTTAGAATTTGACACACATATTCTTTAACATTATTGCAAGTTGCATCAGTAAAAAGTAAAGTAAAAATGAATGAGTCAAATTTTCACAAAAGATTTACGTAACACAGAACAAAACATATTATGATTAAGTCATAGAGCTGATTTATTTACAATGAACCCAACAAACAAAGACTTTATAATTAGATTCTTTGTAATATTTTCTTTGACGCATCAAAAGAATTAGTGATTTATTGTTCGACCAGTCAAAACCTATTCGAGGCAAACTTGCTCCAGTAGGAATGCAATGTCTCAATTCCTTTGAAACTGGCAAAGGAAATGAGATTAAGTCAATTATATAACCAAGTTTTTTTTTTAAACCCTTTTTTTTGTATATTATATTTTCTTGAAGTCCTATGTTGCAAAAATTGATATCTGAATGCCGTCCATGTTTGTAACCGGTGTCCTAAAATATAATTCACTGTTACCGGAGCGGTAGGTAAGCTCACGCGTTCAACCTGAGAGAATTAGCCAACACTAGTCCTAACAAGAGCAGTGCTTCGCTGAATCTACAACCGGATCGGAATCGCGATCCACTGAGAAGATCCGGCTGTAAACTCAATGGGTTAATTTGAATTAAATTTAAATTAAACTAAATTAAATTACCAAATAAAACATGTAACCTTTAAAATTTGAACGTTATTAAAAATCATTAAGGTTTTTATTTAACGGGTTTACTTACGATTTTCAGTTTTATAAATATCCTATACTAGCGGCTTCGGCTCCGCTCGGGTCTTGAACAAAAATTCAACGATATTTGACGTTGTTTTAATTTTTTTTAAATTAAAGAACACTTATTACGGCATAACTACAATAGTTAGACATATGCTGTCACGACATTTTTTGTAATTAATAATGTTTTCTACATATTCGTAATACATTACTTTATTCTATCATCAATAGGTTACATTATTGGAGTTTTAGTAAGGATCCCGATTTATTTATTTTTTTCAAATCAATTAAGATTACATCCTATGTCACTCGGGAATAGTGTAGCTTTCAAACAGTGAAAGAATTTTTCAAATCGGTTTAGTAGTTTCGGAGCCTATTCAATACAAACAAACAAACAAATCTTTCCTGTTTATAATATTAGTATAGATATCAGTGGCATTGCAAGCGCCATGCATTAACAATCGCAGGTATTTCGACCACGAATAGAATGTTAGGAGTTGACAAATCTGTATATGTCCTTTATAGTCTTTAGTGATCTTTAGGTCTATCCAATTTCATTTAAATTTGGAATTTTGCCACAGCCAATCAAGCTGCCACCATTCTACCTTTTGGAAATTAATCATGTGCTCTGGTTTAAAGGAGCAACTTTTATGCCAATTAAAATGAGGTTTTAATGTTGTCTTGCGGTGGCCAGTGGTACTCTTACAGTGGTACTTTTGGGATCCCATGCCGCCTATATATAAGACAGAACAGATCAGGGTATTGGTCACTGCCAATGTTGGCACTAAGGGCTGGTTCCTTGTTCTCTGGACTTCCACAAATAATTAAAGACCAAAATTAGCCAAATCGGTCCAGCCGTTCTCGAGTTTTAGCGAGACTAACGAACAGCAATTCATTTTTATATATATAGATTATTTACGACATCACATTAGAAACCTCAAAAATAACAGTATTTCTCCACTATTTAACGGATGTTATTATACATATAAACCTTCCTCTTTAATCACCCTATCTATTAAAGAAAAACCGCGTCAAAATCTGTTGCGTAGTTCTAAAGATTTAAGCATACATAGGGACAGATATAGGGACAGAGAAAGCGACTTTGTTTTATACTATGTAGTGACTAGTATCGATATTACTATATTATCCGTTATTTGGTGTGTTGAAACCCCGTCTTAATGTTTGTAAAATGTTTATCATTCTAATATAACTAAACTTAATTTTTTTAAAATAAACTATTCAAATGTGTTACGGTAGATTTTTTTTATTGTCCATGTAGGCAAACGAACATAAAGCCCACTTGATGGTGAGTGCTTACCGAAAAGTATATACTTGGGACTTCGACTTCATAACTCTCGGTGGGCAGCGGTACTCAAATTGTGACGTCTATTACTATCTATTCACTATAGATCAATAAAAAAAGTAAAAGAAATAGCTTCTCGATCACCCACGTTGATTACTACAGGAAGCGAACCCGGAACCACAACAGATGTGCGCCCCACACACGGCCCGCGGAGCCAAATGGGTCACATTTAAAACGAATCATTTATTTATAACAGATCTCACAGCGCAATTGTATGGTACTTGTGGCTTGGTGGTATCGTGGGTAGATCTCACCCGAGAAATCTCAGGTTCGAGTCTAGACATGCTTGGTAATAACCGTTGCCTTAGATATCTTTAACTCAAACACTTGGATCAGGCTCCGGGACTTCGGTAGCCGTACTCGTCGAACTCGGCAAAGAGTTCAGAAGAGTTCACAGAAATACATTAAATTTTAGTAATGCACTTTTTTTAGCAATTGTTGATTAACAAACAATATATTATATTCACTAAAAGATTCCAGTTGAGATGCTCGAATGATGGAAAAACGTTTAAAATCCATAAATTTATGTGATACATTTTTATTAATTGTACCTTGTAAGGTGATATCAGGCTTAGCCTCTGGCAATAGTTCGC